TCCCCTGATTTCGATCCGTCCAAAAATCAACCCTAGTTGGACTTTAATGTTTGACTCCGATGTAGACGTGGCTCCACGTGTGGCCCACTATGTAGTGGTCCCACGTGAGGGAGCGTGTTGCAGAGTATAAATTCCCATATTGAGAACTTGATCAAATAAATTACAACATATAATGAATGGTTCCACTCTTAATAATACTATAGAGGCCTTTCAAATAAATTCTCACAATTACTAAACATGTGGTTAAGTTGGGGACAATATCGGTGTTACTAGTGGTGGGCCAACCCAAATCAAACAATCAAACAAACCCAAATAAATACAAAACACCGAGTCTAATAGTATCAGGGCCTTTTGTGATAAAACCCTACACTTACTGAGCTTTGTAGATGGTTAAATTGTGGATAATATCGATGTTATTAGTAATGAGCTATTGATCCGTCTCTTTGAAATTTAAGAAAAGATACAAATTTATGTAAAACTTATAAGAGTATCTCCAAGGGAGATGTTAAATGCAAAATGTTAAATTTGAATTTGATGGCTTATGTGACAATTTGACACTTTGGAAAAAATTTAACTCCACCCGAAATGCCAAATACCATATTATTTTATGGAGAATGCTAGCAACCTTTTCACTAACCTTCTCTTTTGGACTTTCTCCCTTTTCCTCACGCTATGTGTCACTTTCTTTACACTTAAAACAATGTCATTAGTGCATAGCAATTGTTTTCCAAAATTACCTTTATTGAATGTATTATAACTTTCTTTTGATTACTATTAAAAAAAAAAAATTTATTTTAAAAAAAGTTTAATCATTTAACAAACACAAAATTTTGACAATATGAATTTCCGAAACATTAGTAGATAACCCTTTTGTAGTTTGGTAGCATTTCAAATTTTGAATGATATAAAATACCCCCTCAGTTCCTACAAAAAATTCAAAGTTCAATTAAAAAAAATTAAAAAAATCAGTTTTAGGATATTAATAATTAAAACATTAAAAAGGAAATATGAAAACATTGAAAAAACAACCCAGCCACAAGGGGCGGGAGGAAGATGTTACGTAGTGACGGGTGGCTGGCAAGAGAAGCAACATATTTTGAAAGATGGAGATGGGGCGTATGGCTGGGGCTGGTGGGTAAAACAAAATATTATTTTATTAATTTCTATTTTTATTTTTTCAATTTGTAAAAGAAATTTAGATAAATTAAAGGTAATATGAAAGTCAATATATTTATTAAGGGTAATCTTGGAAAACAAAAGCTATGCATTAATGATATTGTTTTAGTATAAAGAAAGTGATACATAGCATGAGAAGAAAATAAAAGATCCAAAAAAGAAGGTTAGAGAGAAGGTTGTTAAGCATTTTCCTTATTTTATTATATTTTTAAAAGCAAATGGGGCCTATATAATGCATAAAATTTTAAAAAAGAGTAAATGATAGTGGGGACCATGACTAAAAAAATATTAAATTAATATTTGACATCAAGCTTTTTGATATATTATTGACATATCTCTTCTAGCCTTCACATCCGTGTAGAATTTGACTACTCGGTTGGAGTAACTTTAATCTTCAGTTTTTGTCATTTCATATCTATGTCGTAATTTGATATATCGGTTGGAGATGCTCTAACTAGTATTCCTGTTTTCCAATAAAAATGATAAAATTAAATTTACCCCCAAGAAAAAACATGAAGAAAAAAGAAATGTTTTAATATTTTGCTCCTTTTCTCAAAAAATGAGGATGAACCTCGTCATAACGTCGTTAAGCAGACAAAGGTGGTAATAGAATTGAAAAGCGGTCAAGACCGGAAACTAGAATTTAAGGGGACGGGCAGCTGAGGGGACCGCGACACGTGTCACTACACTACTGGACATGCCCTTCTTTCCTTGCGTCCGTACAGTTACCGCGGGGAGAGAGAGAGAGAGAGAGAGCAAATGCAACAAGAGCAGGTAGTAGGGATTCCATTTTTAATACCGCGTAATAAAAAAGACTTCACCAAATTCACCTTTTTCTCTATTTTTTTTTTCTGTTGGGTTTGGCCTCTGATCATTATATGCTTACCATACGTGAAAAGATAAAGTTTTAAAGCTATGATGCTTTGTTTTGAGTAATGGGTCGATTTGTTTTCTTTCATTTTGTTAGTCTGTCTACTACACATGAAAGAGCCAGCCATTGTTCTAGATTTTTGGTTTCTTACCCAAAAAAAAGAAAAAAAGAAAAGATTTTGGTTTCTGAAGCATGGGATTTTCTTTTGAGTTTTTTCACACTTGTGATGGTCATCACTATCTTCTCTCTGTTTTAAAGGAAAAAAAAACCATTTTTTTTCTAAATTTCTTTGGGTTTTCATACATTTGTGGTAATTGTTACTATTTTATAGTCTCATAGGTCTTTATTGTCTATGCTTGATACGTGAAAGTCTTAGCCAGGCATTGCTTTTTTGGTGAGTTGCTTCGGTTTCTTGGATTTTCCTGTTCTGTGTTTGTGGGTTTGTCTTTCACTTCTGACAAATGGCGCTGGGTCTTGGGTTTTCACAGTTTTGGTTGTACAACTCTCACAGGTCTCTTTTTTTTATTTTTCTTCTGCGACCGCCATTGTTTTAGAGCTCTGACGCTGGTATTACTAGTGGGTCGGTTTGCCTTTGCCTTCATGGTCTGTGCATCTAGGTTTCCTGTTTGGTTTCTGACAACTAGATCTGAGTATACAGAGATCATATTTGCGTGTTGTATGTGTGTATATATAATATATTTTTCATCAAGGGATCTTTCAAATAAGTTTATTTGAGAGTCATCTTTGTAGGGCTCACCGCATTGTATTTCGCTAATCCAAACCGTCTATTTTTCAGATAATCATTCAAAGATCACCTCTATAAAAAATCACTTGAATCCGATATCATTTGACCATTCAATTGAGTTATTAAAATTTTAGTACTTTCTTGAAGAACCGTGTTCATTGATTTTGTAGGACACAAATAGTTTCCGAATTGTCTAAATTTTTGCAAAGATGGTCTATGAATGTAGGCTTAAAAAATAGATGGTTTGGATCGTGAAAAAAATTCGTAGGGAACCCTAAAGGGTGTTCCTCAATAAAATTATTTAACTTGGGCTTTGTTTTTGTTTTTTTCTATTTGTATTTTTTGTATTTTTGCTTTATTTTCTTGGCATCCGAAAGCAGCTGTGTCGTTCAAGATCTTCATAATGCAATTGTTTTTTGTTGCTCCTCAGCAGCAGCTGTTACTAGGTTTTCTGGTTCGTTTTTTCAGAAAATTTAACTTTTCCCTCGTAAATTGCAAGCAAGTTTGAGTTCCTTCTCCCGTAAATTAGATTAATTTACACCATAAAAAAAGGTGATGGCAAAAAAATAAAAAGACTATAAAAAAAAGGCTAAAAAAGGGATTTTAAAGGGAAAATGAAATATGGGATTTGGGTTTTTGTTAGAAGTAAAAAACTAAGGAGGGTATATTCAATTAAGATTTTAATGGATTATTTTGAAGCTTAAAAGTACAACAGTATTCAATTAGGATTTTTAAGTAAACAATAAAAGTCTGGTGGTATTCAATTAGGATTTTTAAATAATCAATACAAGTCCGGTGGTATTCAGTTAGGACTTTTAATAGATAAGAAAAAGTACTGTGGTATTCAAAAACTTACTGATTTTAATGTATTTCATTAAATGGTGTATTGTGTGAGACTTTTGAGTGTGTGATATATATACCAAATCACATAACAAATCACACCCTCCTATGCATGATTCTCATATATGCTCTCATACTTTTTCTTCCCCGTTATTTTTTCATGCCTTTTACTGTATATAAAAAAAAATTCATAAGAGAGACGATAAAGGGTCCACATCACAGCACAGTCCCCCTTTTTCCTCCTTTCCCTCCACCTCTTTTTTTTCTTCTAATTTTTTCTTTCTTTCCTCCTCCCTCCCCTGACCCCTCTTTCTCCTTCGCACTCTCCTCTCTCCCTCAGTGTTTAGTAAACAACCACCAATTTTAGATGATGAAAGTTGCAAACCAATTTTGTAAAAGCTCTTCCGTTGGTTATTCAAATGGGAAGATCCAAGTAAAACGAAGGTCTTTATTTTGAGAGTCATCTTTGTAGGGCTCACCGCATTGTATTTCGCTAATCCAAACCGTCTATTTTTCAGATAATCATTCAAAGATCACCTCTATAAAAAATCACTTGAATCCGATATCATTTGACCATTCAATTGAGTTATTAAAATTTTAGTACTTTCTTGAAGAACCGTGTTCATTGATTTTGTAGGACACAAATAGTTTCCGAATTGTCTAAATTTTTGCAAAGATGGTCTATGAATGTAGGCTTAAAAAATAGATGGTTTGGATCGTGAAAAAAATTCGTAGGGAACCCTAAAGGGTGTTCCTCAATAAAATTATTTAACTTGGGCTTTGTTTTTGTTTTTTTCTATTTGTATTTTTTGTATTTTTGCTTTATTTTCTTGGCATCCGAAAGCAGCTGTGTCGTTCAAGATCTTCATAATGCAATTGTTTTTTGTTGCTCCTCAGCAGCAGCTGTTACTAGGTTTTCTGGTTCGTTTTTTCAGAAAATTTAACTTTTCCCTCGTAAATTGCAAGCAAGTTTGAGTTCCTTCTCCCGTAAATTAGATTAATTTACACCATAAAAAAAGGTGATGGCAAAAAAATAAAAAGACTATAAAAAAAAGGCTAAAAAAGGGATTTTAAAGGGAAAATGAAATATGGGATTTGGGTTTTTGTTAGAAGTAAAAAACTAATAAGTGACTTTGTGTGTAAACTATTTAAGTTGAAAGCGTCCAAATCTTAATTAATACCATAGATTTTCCCCTAAAGATCCCGTTTCTTTGGATTCAGAAGCCCCAATTATACATGTTTCTTTTTTTTTCTTTTTTTAAATGCACGATGCACTTTTGGTTTGGCTTAAATTCGATTAGATGAGTTATTTCCTTTTTCCTTTCCGTGTTCTTTATGCTCTGTTTTGACCGCAGAACATTTTTAGCCTTTATATATGCAGTCTACTGAGCCTGTCAATGTCATTGATTTTTGTTTAATAATTAAATAGCTTCTTGTGTTTCTTTAAAGGCTTGTATTTAACAATTGCATGTACTCGCAAACATGGGCTTAGCCAAGTTGTCTAGAGAGGATATGCTCCCCACTTTGCATCCGAATTCGAATCCACCTCCCCGTAGTTAGATTAAAGTAGAATATCGCTAGTATAAAAATAAAAAAATTGCACGTACCCATTTTTGTTATAACAGTTATCCTATTTGTATTTAACAATAGACTGTCAATAGGCTCTACTACAACCCTGGCATTTTTACAGTCCCCCGGGGCCATGTGTTTGGTGTCACAGATGTACAGTAATTGTGGCTATTACATCAGCAATGGCCACCATTTAGATGCAGTGACTAAGAAAACTGTGGCTTCTACTCAATTTTCTAGTAGTGTCCGCTATGAAATGTTGGTCAGATATAGCCTACTTCTTGGTTCTCTAACCTTTTGTTTTTCCCTTCATTTCTTACATTTACCTTTGAAAGCAGCTTATGATGTATTAATAGCATCATCTTATGTTAAGTATTTATTGCTCCCTAACTAAAGCACAATGTGGAGATTGGCAACGTTGGTGTGCTAGAGATTATTGTTTCCAAGTTTGGCAAAGTTTTAACTAACGACGTTATTTATGACTCTTGTAGTTGAGCAGGTATTAGGAAATGGAGTCTTCAAATCCAGAAGGAGTTGCACTTCCTCCTCCTCCGGCCATTATCCCTCCAAATGTTGTCCCCATTGTATCCGAAGACAAACGTCTCGAACTAATGAAGAAAGCATCAAATCCAAAACGTGTTCCCATGGCAAGGCCCGGTATTGGATCTAAAGGGCAAAGGATTCCACTTCTAACTAACCATTTCAAAGTGGGAGTGAACAAGTCTGATGGATATTTCTTCCATTATAGTGTAATTCCTTGTACTCTCTCTCTCTTGCCCTATCATTTGCAGGAATAGTGATGTTTGTATCATTGTATTGGTGTTATTATGATGATACAGATTGATATGCTTTATGAGGATGGAACCCCAGTTGGTGAGAAAGGCATTGGACGAAAAGTTCTTGACAAAGTTAAAGAAACATATGGCTCGGAGCTGGGACATAAAGAATTTGCTTATGATGGAGAAAAAAGCTTGTTTACAGTTGGCTCTCTGCCTCATAACAGACTCGATTTCGTGATCGTATTGGATGACATCTCATCAATCAGGTACTATCATGTGGTTGATAATGAATATCCCTTGCTCTTATATTTGATATTGGCTATTTGCACACACCTATAGGAGGACTTCAAGCGCCGGAGGCAGTTCCAACCCAACTGATAGTGCAGGGGATAGGAAGAGAGTTAAGAAGCAGTATCAATCCAAAACATTAAAGGTGCAGATCAACTTTGCTACTAAAATCCCAATGCAAGCAATTGTGAATGCGTTACGAGGTCAGGACTCGGAGCATTTTCAGGAAGCAGTGAGGGTACTTGATATCATACTAAGGCAGAATGCAGCAAAGCAGTAAGTATTTCACTGTTGTATCTTTCCTCTGGCAGTCCACTTTTTTATTAGGTGCATCATATTCTGTTTGTCTGCAGGGGTTGTCTCCTTGTCCGACAGTCTTTCTTCCATAACAATCAGAGCTTCAAAAAGTTGGGAGGAGGTGTACAAAGCTGCAGTGGTTTCCACTCAAGTTTTCGAGCTACCCAAGGGGGTCTGTCTCTGAACATGGGTAAGTTTCTAAGAAATAGAAGGCTAGTTTGTTTTGTGATTCTACTGCCAAGCTCATCACTGTCCTTGTTTTAATGCAGATGTATCCACTACAATGATCGTGAAACCTGGTCGTGTTCTCGACTTCCTCTCGGAGAACCAAAATGTTAAGAGTAATGATCAGATTGATTGGATTAAGGTAATCGTGGTTTCCTTCAATTTTGACATTACATTGGTTGTGCAACGGTCATGATCTGAGCTTTTTTATTTTATACTAGGCCAAGAGGATGCTAAAAAATCTAAGAATCACGGCCCATCCCTCTAACATGGAGTACAGAATCACTGGATTGAGTGAAAAACCATGCAAAGAGCAGAGGTAATTAATTTCTGCCTTATAAGAATCATGCCATCTAAGAAGTACTGCTTTGCAATAATCTTACCACTCTACATTTGTGTCTAGGTTCTTTCTGAAAACAAAAAACGGGCAGGATGGTGATGGAGAGGAAATTACGGTTTTCGATTATTTTGCTGTCTATAAACACTTACCAGTGCGCGAGTCAGCAGATTTTCCATGCATCAATGTTGGGAAACCAAAGAGGCCTTCTTACTTTCCAGTTGAGGTGATGAATTTTCTTTTTAAATTTTTTGTTAAGGTTAATATTAGAATTTTTCTTTATCATTCTTCTTTGCCCTTGCAGTTCTGTGACTTGGTTTCACTGCAACGCTATACAAAAGCTTTATCCAGTACGCAAAGGGCTTTGCTAGTTGAGCAGTCTCGGAAGAACCCCCAAGAACATTTGACAGTTCTGCGTAATGTAAGTTATGCCCTCTATGTGATTTAGTTTTATCTTTGCGCCTTAAACCTACTGACACCTCAAATGTTGATCCTCTCAGGCACTGAAGACTAGTAAATATGATGCTGACCTGATGCTTCGTT